ATGAACAAAAAGTTGAGATTTCCCATAGTAATTTACATGTAAACTTCAAATGGCTTGTGCGAAGTCTGTTTCTAACCAAATAAGTTGTAACTTTGGATAATCAGGACCCGATTTGAAACCATTTAAGCACTGTGGAGCAAAAAAGTCAAATTTTGCATCAGTCTAGTGGCAGTCCTTGGTAGTGAATGCAGTCATTGTTTGCTAGCCTGGGTCAACGAAAGGAAGCGATTGTTCTTGGAGGCGCTGTAGTCCTTGAAACTGATCGTATTGTCCCGGCAGGGTGTAGGGGTTGGTGCACTCAGATAAGTAGTTTAGCTTGGAAAATTCAATCTGAATATTGCCCCCATCATTTCCGATTGGAATGTTGTTCAAGTGCTGGATAATGCGTTCTACTGGTTCAACTGCGATGGCGTCTCCCATCTGGACCATGGTGATACCCTCTTTGGTCTTCAGGAACTTTATCCTGACGACATTTCCGTACAGGTAGATCAGATTGAACAGCTTATCGGTGTTGGCTGTACTGTTATCGAGTCCGTAGATCATCATCACTGCGCCCTGGTGATGTACCGGTTGAATGAAGTTGACTGGTCCAATTCGGGTCTGCGGTGCGTCTTTCATCCGTCCAACGTATGTTTCGGCCGGTGTTGGTTACCAGTATTCCGACGGATGATACTAGGGTGGTGAAAAATTCGTTGCAAATCCGTTTCCTCCGCCGGCTCCCAGAAAGGTTGGTTTAGGACCATGGTTGACTAATGATTGACGGTCGATGTACGGCCTTCCGCTAAAGATGGTAGGATCATAGAGGTAACTCTAAGACCAGAAGGTCCCCAAGAAACGAGCTCAACTTTTTGGCTCAGCTCTGATACTCTCTTCGGTCCCAAGCTAATCGATGCAACCCTCGAAACATAGGAAAATCCACGAACCCCTCATTTTATCTGTCAAACTTTCATAGCGAATCAAAACAAACATAGTGTAGTACTATAATTTCGACTAGAATGGGGTGCGTTAATCGATTTGCTTGGGACCAATAGGGTATTCAAGTAGTGAGCCAATTTAAAATCGTTAGTTTCGTATTGATTGTTGGTAGGATCGTGTAGCGACGGAGCTCGTCCGTTGCAGGCATACTTGGAGACGGCTGCATCCAATTTGTAGTCCCAACTGGATTCCGTGTCGTTTTTGTAAACATTGAAAAACAAAACAAAAACAATAGCTGTTACAATACCGAGTTGCGAAACATGGCATTATTCACAAGCAAACAAAAGTCAGTTCAATGACTTCCCGGCACTGCCGGCACAGCTGCGGCACACTGCGAAAAAAGTTGGCTCAAAATAAGTGTCTAGAGTGACCACCTCTTGGTTTATCCGCAAGCATAGGGGCAATGTCATCTTTTGGCCCGATTTGGCCAGCTGCCACTACTCCAAGGTGATTCTGTACTGGTATGCTGCCAACAAGATTGATTTTGTCCCCAAGCTAATGAATCCTCCGAATTGCCCGGAATTTCGACCAATCGAAAAATACTGGGCAATTTCAAAGCAGTGACTTTGACCAAGCGGCGGGGCGGTCAAGGACATCCAGCAAATGCGAGATAAATGGAAGAAATGCGCTGATTCCGTGTCCGTTTCCACTGTGCGGGCGCTGATGGGCTCCATCAAGAGGAAGGTTAGAGATCACGTTCGAACTGGAGAAATGTAACCATCTTATGCTGTAAGTTTGAAGTTTTAATAGAAGTACTGTAAAGCAACGATTAATGGACTTTTCAAACTTATTGAATCACGAATTACAGGTCTTTTTGTTTGGCGTACCTATTTACTTTAAGTCAGCCTTTATTTAGATTACAGATTTTTAGAAATATACAAAGGTTTAATAGATTTTTCAATCTTTATTATATTTATTAATTCCGATTAATTATCGTTTCTTCCTTTTGAGCAGCTTGAAGTCACTCTTCGAGCACCAAACCCAATATTTTCCGTTAAATAAAATATTATTGTATTATCTTCGATGCTCAAATGATGTTATTTCTGATTCCTTGTTCAAAGATATAGATATTCTGGATAAATTGGTTAATATTAAAATATTCTGTCGGGGTAAATTTTAAATATTCAATGTTTCACAATTTTCCATACAAATGAAAAGCCAAAATCTCCCCATACAAAAATACACCAAAAATTTCATCTGGTGGAATGTTTTAAAACCAACCGATTTAGGGATAATAGCAACCAAACTTATATTTGGTGAATAAAAATCGGATTTACATAAAAAAATTATTAATCCACCAGCTCAGACACGGCGATTCGAAGATTTAGCTGGTTATTTTAACATTTGAAAGAATAACGTTACATGCAATTCGACTAAGCTTCCAAACAAATGTTTTGAATTGTGACAACATGCGGGACAATTGATAATACAAGTATTTACTGACAGCAAATACTGCGTACACTAATGTACCAAAGTTCGAGCAACAACAAGTGAATTAAATATCCCGTTAATCTGTCAAAAATTTAAATAAAGTTGAAATCTGGATTGATTAGAAGACTTTTAGAAAATGAAAGATCAAACATAAGCATTCAATGAAGAATAACGGGTTGAACAAAAAACAAATAGTCAGACAAATATTTGCGTAATCTCGGACATAAAGAAGTAAAATTCCTGGAAAATGTGACTGATACTTCATTAAAGAAATTCTCAAGATATGTTTGTAGCTTAAGACTTATATAAAAGATACAAATCGAGTAGAACATCATGATTCTAAGAAATTGATATATTTTAAAGGGTGTCCACGATGAAATTGCCACACACAAAATTGATTCGCAAAATTCGAGTTTTCATCCGATTGCCATCAAATTTTCAGGGATTGAGAAATAACTATAAAACTTCATTTTACCATTTTACTCGTATTTTATTTACAGTCCATACGCAAATGCCCGCACCTTGGCCTTAACCCCGGCCATAAGATTCTGCACAACCTGTGAATCAACCGTTTTTTGCATGTAAACCCATACTTTCTTCAGTTCCTCGACTGTCTTCACTACCTTAGGTCGTTTAAGAAGGTGCTGCTTCATAATCGCCCAGTACTTCTCGATGGGGCGGAGCTCCGGAGTGTTGGGAGGGTTGAACATTTTCGGCACGAAATTGACCTTATTGTCCGCATACCACTTCAGCACGTCCTTGGAGTAGTGGCATGAGGCCAAATCCGGCCAGAAGATTGTTGGGACGTTGTGGGCCTTCAGGAGAGGAAGCAGCCGCTTCTGGAGGCACTCTTTTATGTACACCTGTCCGTTCATCGTGTCCTGGGTCATGAAAGGTGCACTCCGCTTCCCGCACGTGCAGATGGCTTGCCAAACCAGGAATTTCTTCGCAAATTTGGACATGTTCTGAGTGCGGACATGCTCCGGAACGCTGAACTTATCCTTGGCCGTGAAAAACAGGTTGCCGGGGATCTGTTTGAAGTCGGCCTTCACATATGTTTCGTCGTCCATGATGCAGCATTCAACTTTCGTCAGCATGTTGAGGTACAACTTCCTGGCACGGGTTTTGGCGGACTTGTTCTGCTTCTCGTCGCGATTAGGGGCCTTTTGTACCTTGAACGTTCGAAGCCCAGCCTTAGTTTTGGCCTTCTGGACAAAACTTCGGCTTAGGTGCAGCTTCTTAGCCACATCCCTAACGGAGGCGTTCGGATTTCGGTTGAAGGCCCCAACTACGCGGTTGTGATTTTTGGTGTTGTACGGAATACTTTTTCCTTCACTTCTGGGCTTCCGATCGGTGGTCAACCGTTCCTCGAACCGCTTAATCACTCGCGACACCGTGGAATTCGCGATTCCCAACGTTTTAGCGATGGAACGATGCGAGAGATCCTTGTTCTCGTGATGAATGCGCAAGATTTTATCACACACGAGCTGTTCTTTCGACTCCATTTCCGCGAGTTTTGATCACAGGACTTTAAAACTTGCAGGATGTAAATAATGCACTATGAACTAAATCCACCCAAATTTTCATTAAATCCTACCCAACGGTTAAAAAGTTAGAGCAATTTCATAGTGTGGCAATTTCATCGTGGACACCCTTTATATAGATAAATTCTTTAGAAAGCAAATTTAATTTTTCAAGATTCTAAACTTTCACAAACTTTTTCTGACCTTCGAATGCACATACCCCTTTGTCTGTATGTTGGGGTCAATATGACCCCAGGCAATTTTTGCAAACTTGATTATTCATCAACACGATTTTTTCTCTGACATTTTTGCATGCTAAAGTCTTCTTTATATGCCTGCCTCTTAGTTGATACATATTTCGAACTTTATTTATTACTCGTTTTGAAGGACACTTGCAATGAACTTAGCTTTTTTTTGAAGATACAAACAAAGGGTTAACGGAGATTAACGTTGATCCGTACCTAGCCCATAATTAATATATTATACAGATTTTTTTTACAGATATGTTTTTCAACCATATACAGATTATAAAGATTTTTTACGGTGAAAATACAGATTTAAATTGGAAAAATTTGGCAACACTGCTTGTAGCCGTTGAATTAGTAGTATTTCATTGTTGCTTTCTATAACGGTAATCATTTTTGAAGATAATAGGTGCTTGGCTTAACGTCTCCTATGGGGCTGCCATCTTAGAAGTAGCCTCTGGGGAACACTCCATGCAATATCTCATTAAGTTCAATTTACTCACTCCAACGTTTCGGTCCTGGTTGGGACCATCTTCAGGAATAATTGTTCGTGTCAGGAATATTTTAGTCTGTCTTATTATCTGTCCTTCTTGATGCTTGGGAATGCAGTTTGGTGAGGTACTAGTTTGCTCACTGCTTCCATGCGTTCTGTTGTGGGAGCTTTGGATGTTTATTAATTTTAACCAGAGGGTGTGTCGTTACGATAACTTTAGTTCAAATATGAATATGTACCATTATGAAGTAAATAATCGCAATTAAAAAAATAACAGGCAATCAAATTGATCAACTTCTACTTAACAAAAATCTCACCCTTCTCCAATTTCAGTGGTGGTCGAGGAACCAGAATTCACGGATGTAATTGAAAACGTCACAGTGCCTGCAGGACGGAATGTCAAACTGGCGTGCTCCGTCAAGAACCTAGGATCATTTAAAGTAAGTATACATCGCCGATTCGAATGCATTATTAAAAAAATCAAGCTTCAACCACTAGCAAAAAACCGTATGTACCGACAAAATTGCTTCCCACCCCCAAGACCATCGCCTGCCCCAAACACTGAGGCCAACATCTGAACGCAAAATAACATTACATTCGAAAGGTTTCAACCCCATACCCTCCATAACGAAACGGAAACTCCGCAAGGCACATTGCCAAGCGTAATAAAAGAAATCGGTTTTATTAAAATTGTTATCTTTTAATAAAAGCCCAGTACACCGCACCGTACCGTAATGTTGCTTAAAGATAAATACGACGATCATGGATATTTTCTTAATAAAATTTCACATTTATTTACATGCTATAGACGTCGTCCTGTTGAGGTTATGATTCTTGCTCACCCTCATGTGTTTCAATGCCCATATCAAAACTGACTGACGTGGAGGTATCTTCACGGCCACTCCCCTTCCCCCCTCATACTCTGCATCCATTCTTCGAGAAACCTGAATGGGTATTCGTTTCACCTTGAGACGTTCGGTTGGATGAAGCTTTATTTACATTCATCCTCCGTCATGCGGTAGACAGATACAGACACCGATGGACCGACTTCTTCTGTTTCCGTTCAGATTGTATGTAAGATATGCTTGCACAGGTGTAGCTTCTTCATGGTCAGGAGAGACGGTGACGGTGATTGAATAGCAGCATTATCAAAAAAAAATCTTTAAATTACGAATTTATATCCAAGACTCATCCATGCAAAAATATGAAAATGTGTCAAAGTAATAATTTGAAAAATAAAAACATTGACAAAAAATATACGATTCTCACACCGCAAGCTTCAACCTATGGCTGGTAGAAGTGGTGTGGGCACAACAATCATAACACGCAAATGTTTATCCATTTATGCTTGCCTGATCAGGCCTTTTGAGCATACCAACTACGAACCCATCCGATAACACACAAAACCCACGTGACTTTTCGTCGATTCACCGACGATGATGATGGTATCTCTTCACTCCTGTCAAACCAGCGAAAGCCACTGAAGAAGGGGACGAAAAGTCCGCTCCCCCATTGGATTCCCGTCCTGCCGATATCAGCAGAAAAGAAAAAGCGCTGTATGAATTGCCTAGCCATCTCTTCAAATTTTATGGGGAATAAAAAATCCCATACCAAGTGCTTTTTATGATTTTTCTGAGGTTTTCTCCCCCCACTTTGGCAACTGACTTTATGCCGAAACTGGGCGTTGTACAAATATTAAGACCGTTTCCCTCGACGCATTCAAGAATCGTTGTTTTTGATTTGGAGCTCAGCTCCTTTCACTTTTTGATTAATTATGCGGTTCTAAAATTTTCATTTCCGAATTGAAGGAGAAAATTTGCATGTTTTCATATCGAATCATAAGTTTTTATTCATACAAGCATGTCACCATTCCAACGTGACGGAGCACCATCACAAGTAGTTAACGTTTCATGATAAACCTGAATTAAACAACAGATGTACAGTGGCCGTGTGTTTTTATTATTGTAGTTTTACATACTTTGAACGTTGCTAAGTCAGCTGATTTTGATGATTTGGATGTTCAAAACCCCACTGTGTAAGGCTTACTTAAAATACCTTTTACACATTCAATTTTGACCCAATTTGATCACAACAGGTTTAATTTTGAAGGGGAGTAAGCTACTATTATTCTAAAGTAAATAAACTTGTCTAGGTTGCTCTCAGTTATGGCAAAAATTCATTATATGTATCTTGATGAATCTGGGTGTCTTAGTGGTATACTTGTGTGAAAAGAGAGAGAGAGAGAGAGAGAAGGATTAGTAATTATCATTGAATTCCACTACATTATTTGCTTATCCTTGAAAGACACGCGTATGCTTTCTCTTGTGATTAAAAATATGTCCTGGATCTCAAAAGTCCTTACGGAATATGATTTCAGAAGAGTTCTATTTTTTAATTATAAGATTTTCTAAGTTTTTTCTATCACACCATTTTGAAAAAAAAATCGACAGATTATTTTAACTGTTTAGAAACAATACATTTCGCAATACTATTTTTAATGTAGTCAGTGAATAATAACGTTGAAAATTCAGTAGAAACGGTAAAATCACAATTTTACTTTGAATTTTATGATACAATATAGAAGAAAAAAACACATAGGACGTTATGACAAGGCAAGTTAAACATCGGACATGTTACATTGGAGGATTTTTCTCAATGACATAATCAATTAATGTTACATTGGGCGTTTTGTTCCACATGATACTAGATTCCCTTTCGCAGATTTCAAAGTAGAGTACCTAACTTTTGATTGACCCCGCCTTTGGAAAATAAGCACCAATCATGTTAGGCAGTCCGAATGACTGAAGGAACAATCATGTACCCATCATTTCAAACTGTACATTGGTCAATTTTAGCCCTATGATTATCTTAAATAAATGAAAGAAAATTTGGATGGATGTTTTTGTATCACATACAATGATAGAAGAGCAATAGTTTGTATCGTTTAACTCGATTTGTTTACATTTGTTACTTAGGACCTTTTGAAAAGTGACGTGAGTTTTCAGCTTTTGTAAACAACGCATTTTATCGTCGGTTTGGCGTAACTGATAGCTCTGTTGGAGTGGCCGCAATGGCATTGGAAAAAGAACTCGGATCGGGAAGTAATAAAACGCGTGTGTACTGAACGTGAACAACAAAAAGAATGACAGTTTTATTCAGCGGAAGTAATACAGATGATAACAAACATATGTATCATGGTTTCTCTCTAGTTGATGAAGTTGTCGCCACTTGGGGGGCTCAACACTCCTCCTCAACTTCAACAGACTTTACTCCGATAGCCGCCCGAAGTTTCCCTAGCTTTACTACTGCCAGCGGCTTAGTCAGGATATCCGCCTCCATAAGTTCTGTAGGGCAGTACTTGATGGACACGACACCGTTTGCCACAAGATCCTTCACGAAGCAGCATTTGGTGTCAATGTGCTTCGACTTTCGTGAAGCGCGTTCCGTAGCAGTGAGAGCAATGCAGCTCTGGTTATCCTCATGAACTGCAATGGGATACGCCATGGACACACCCAGATCAGCCATTAGCTTGCACAGCCTCTGTAACTCCTGCAGACAGTCAGCCAAAGCGATATACTCAGCCTCGGTGCTGGACAGCGCCACGCTGGTCTGCTTTCGGCAACACCACTCGATGAGTCCACCACCAAACTTGAACAGAAAGCCAGTATTGGATTTTCGGTCCGTCACTTCACCCGCCCAATCGGCATCTACGAAACATTCCAGCCTCAGTTTCTCGTTAGCACCTAGGTGTAACTCGTGGTTGATTGTCCCCTTCAAATACCGAAGCACCTTTTTGGCCTCGATCCAGTCAGCCTTCCCTGGTTTGGATACACGCCGCCCAAGGACAGAAGTAGCGATTGAAATGTCCGGACGACTGTTTATGGCAACATACAACAACGCACCGATTAGGCTTTGGAATTTATCCTTCTCCGCAGGCTCATCGCTCTCCTCCTGCTGTTGTTGTAGGTAACCACTCGCCATCGGGACCCGTGATGTGTTAGCCTTCTCCATTCCAAATCGTACGAGTGTTTTTGATATGTACGATTTCTGGTTGAGAACATACGCACCGGCTTGTTTTCGGACCTGAATCCCCAAGAAGCACGAAAGTTCTCCCAACTCGGTGATTTTGAAGTTCCGCGCCAACTCCTCGACCACTGCTTGGTATTCCTGCTCCGTGGGCATGGATCCACTTTCGACTGTTGGAATCCAATCTCCTTCAGAACTGCATCGATATTTCTGTTCCACACGCGGGCAGCCTGTTTTAGCCCATACAAGCAGCGTTTGAGACGGCATACCCTGGTTGGATCCTCGGTCTCGAACCCAGGAGGCTGTTTCATGAATATCTCCTCCTGTAATTCGCCATAGAGATATGCTGTTTTAATGTCGACGTGCCTTGCCAACATTTTCCGGCTGCTAGCCACTGTGAGAACCGCACGGAAGGTGGTTTGTTTTACCACTGGTGCAAAAACCTGGTCGTACTCGCTGCCAAACTTCTGGCAAAACCCTTGAGCGACGAGCCGGGCTTTGAAACGAACGACGTCCCCGTCGGCGCTTTCCTTGCACTTGTACACCCATCTTGACCCGATGGCCCTATTACCTGTTGGCAACTCGACGACGTCCCAGGTACCGTTCTCCAGTAATGAAGCCATTTCTTCCGCCATAGCCGCCTTCCACTTATAATTCTCAGGACTAGCCATCGCTTCTGCATAATTTCGCGGTTCACACGCCACATCTGCAGCTAATCCAATTGTATCTCGATATCTTTCCGGTGGTACTCACATTCAGGTCCGGCTTCCTGCCGAACCAAAGCTCGAACGGAGTTTTGTCGACAGCAGCGGACGGCAACCTATTTTGAATGTAGGCGGCCGTATTCACCGCCTCTGCCCAAAAGCGTTTGGGCAGCCCTGCATCGAGTAGCATACACGAACCCATTTCGTTGAGGGTCCTGTTTCGCCACTCTGCCACCCCATTCTGTTGGGGAGCATACCCAGCGGTGTAGTCAGGCTTTATTCCCTCCTCGGCATAAAATTTACGGATACTGTTACTGATGTACTCACCTCCTCTGTCCGAGCGTTTGGTCTTCGACTTCTTACCTAGCTGGTTCTGGGTGAATCGGACGTAGTCGCGAATCCTTCCTTCAACCTCCGATTTTTCCTTGAGAAAATACACCATAGTGTACCTACTATGGTCGTCGATCAACGTCATATAGTACCTACAGCCACCTGGAGTCTCCGTCATCGGACCGCAGACGTCGCTGTGTACTATATCGAGCACCTCCTTTGACGTTTTCTTAGCTACCTGTGGAAAAGACGGCCTAGCCATCTTTGCCTTGACGCAGCACTCGCACGTCGCCCGGATTCCGCATTCCCTGACGCACATTCCAGACACCAGACCCTTACGCACCGCTTCCTTGATGGCTTCCAGATTCTTGTGGCCGAGC